TATATATATATATATATATATATATATATATATATATATATATGTATAAAGAGAGAGAGAGAGAGAAAGCGGTTAGGGTTACGGTAGGAATTGTTCAACCGAGTACGTGAATCGAGATAAAATCCAGGTTAACATTATCTATCTGTATGATAAATGTGACGCTACTTCGTAACTCTGTGTGTATTGCGTGTATATATTATATATATATACCTTTTAGCATAACACATACGATGATCATACACACATACACACGCATACAGATATACATACACAAACATCTAGCTGACATACGACGCTATTAGGGTAACTTTGTCGTAAAATGCGCCCTTCGTACCTTTCGCCGTCGGTAATCATCGACGTCACTTAGACGACAGCGCATTTGTATATTTTTTTACGTAACCATTGACGTTTCTACCGCTTAATTATTCTTGTGTGCGGATATAATTGATCCTTTATTTTTGCTTTTTTTCCCCTAATCCCAGGTCGGACCAAGATGCGTTTAAGCGGAATGATCACTTCGAAAACGAAACGTACGAGAGGCGCGTCCTCACATAGTAATTACGAAATCTATTATCTTAGGCTTTCAACATTCGCGACGATGAAAGTGCGCGACGCCGCGAAGTGTTTCCGAAGTCGCGGATCTCGAACGGTAACATATGTACAAAGCTCGATGTCGACGTTCACAACGCGAGGACGCACGAGGGCCTAAAAGAGAGAAAAAGAAGGAGGGAAAGAGAAAGAGAGAGTAGAGAAAAATTGTTCATTCTTTTCATCTTTTATGTTATGTTACGATCATCCCAACGGTATAAAGATTCATAGGCATTTATTATTCTCATGAGACAAGATTCATCGTCCGTCGTCGACAGGACTCGGATTGTTTTCGGACGTGTTTGTCGCGCAGCATCCCTCGGTAATCGGGGACTAGATTCGTTTCGAGTGTAACGCGACCGTTGTATGTCGCTTAGACTCGACACGGACGTCGCGTATCAGACGCGATCGTGAAACGCGTTATTCGAAGATTCGGACGACGGACAGAGTCGTTGAGTAGCGAACAAATCGAGTTTTTCCTACGCGTGAGTCCGACAACGTGTTTCCTTCTCCCGTACATACGTCTTATAATTTTGAAAAATCTCGTGCGGGTATTTCGGCGCTTCCATAATATACACTTACACAATACACACATACAGATACATATAACACGCGCGTAGATACGTGCGTATAAAGTATACGAGAGTGTTGCGCGCATACTTGCCGCTGTGCGCCGTGCTGCACGCATTTAAGAAGCATCTTGATCTTCGAGTTTCGCCAATTCAATTCTTTTCTGCGTTTCTTTCCTCTGGTTTCTTCCTTTTTTTTTTCTTTATACATTTTTTCGTTTTTGTTGTAATCTGTATATCGCTCTTGGCATCAGCGTGTCGTGATTTAATTTTTGGTATAGCTAATATAGGCACGAGCGAGAAGGACCGAGTTGCGGACAATGCGTAACATTGTCAGGCACGAGCTAGATCGACGATATTGTAACGACACACGCAGCTTATCATTTGCACGAGCGAGACCGATCTCACACGTCGACGCAGTCTCGACACATTGTTTCTTTATTTGAAGTATTTCAAAGTTTTGTTTATTTGGCGAAGGTGTTATCGAGATTTGTGTTATATTCGACGACGAGTTGCGTCTCGGTGTGTCTCGCGATGATTTGTGAAAAACTCTATCGTCGCAATTTAACATTGTAAGACGATCTGTCTGAAGGTCTATGTCGCGAGACCTTCGTGAGACTCTCCGGTGCTGCTTTCTTTAAATGCCCGTTGCACGACACACATACAACACACACATACACGCGTGTGTCACGTTTGCAAGGAACTCGGAATATCGTCGATTGGCGCGAGTCTCAAGGGCGACAACACGAAACGTCGATTTTCGAGCGACGGTGTTTTATGTGCGACGAGGGATATACGAAGGGGGACTTCCTCGTTAAGTGAGACTGTAGCTAGCGATCCAGATTAAAACGGTCGCTTGAAGATCGCGCGTTTCTTGAAAAAAGAAAGAGAGAGAGAGAGAGAGAGAG